TCCCCCACGGTCTCTTTCTCTCTCCCTCCGCCACCCGCGCCTCCCGCCGATTTTTCTTACCGCGTTCTCGAAAGCTTATCCGCTCTCGGCGGAAGCTCGAAAAATCTTGAATTTCAGAGTCAGTCCCCCTCCTCGTCGTCGGTGCGGCGCATCGACGAACGAGATAATGCCGCACGACACGATTTGCGAAAGATGAAATGAACGTTGCTCGGGCGCAGTACGTCAATGTTAACCTTGAACGTAGTTGCAGATAAAGAGCACGTAAAGCATGCGCTTGAAAATTAATTTTCCTGATTAATTTGTTAAGCGATCCTGCTAGAGAAATATAGACAAACTCGACTTCTCCGGAATTCTCTCACGACGAAATCAAGCAAGATCATTTCGACGATTCTGATTTGCACTTTCTGAATTTTTTATTCCCCCCATCAAATTGTCGCGGCAAATTGTCGCGACCAACAAAACAATTCCTAATTGGAACAGGATAATTCGATTCGAAACCGGTGGCGAGGAAAGAAGCGCCGACGACGACGACGACGACGACGAAGGGTAACCCATTCGCACGGTAGTCGCCTCTGGTATACGCATAAACGTGCAAAGTGTGCTGGAAACGAGCGTAGATTATCGCGGGTAACGTGTTCACGATCCGAGCGAGATGTCGTGCGCATGTAGGCCTAATATATTCAGATTTTTATGGCTGGTGGCGTATCGGTGATACGGCAGCGGTCGGTCGGTCGGTCGGTTCCACCCTCTCCCCCGCGGTTCCCCCGTTCGCGTTCTCCCCGACGTCGCTGCTGCGGCGGAGGCCTTCCTTCACGTACCACTTAAAGCGCGGGGTAGCCTAATGAATAAACAAAAACTAGATTTCGCTTAGGGCTTACACGTAAAAGCGTGACCTTACCGGCGATTTACCGCGACTCTGCCGCGGTTCTCAAATCGACTCGTGCTGCTCGCTCCGTTGCCGGAAATCTCATATCTGCGAATCGATCGGGAATGACCGATGGATTGAGATTTTATGTTTTTCATATAAGTGGCGTGCTTTTATTTTCTTTCTTAACGCTAAAAAATATAATTTTTATATATTTTTTAGTTATAAGAGAAAGAGATTATTAAAAAGAGGTTGTTCTATTAATGATGATTATATCAAAAATAGAAAAAAATAGAAAAACATATTTAATACAACATATTTTAAGTAAGAATATATAATATATTTAAAGAATATATATAATAATAACGTATTTTAAATAAGAATAGAAAAGGTTTCTTAATCATTCACGAATAATGACGGTCTAATAAGAATTCGAGTTGAATCTAAGAATTGGCTATAGTAGTGATCTACAATCTACATCATTTTTATAAATCTTCATTCTTATCTTTCTTTTTTCCATGGTTAATACGAGAATAAAAATTGCGCGCGTCGCGCGAGAATGCAACGCTCATTCGCAACGTTTGCATGCGTTTACGGTAGCGAGAAGAGCAAACGGTGAAAGAACGGGGAAAAAGGCAAGGGGGCGGAACACGTGTTCGCGAGAGTAACATCGGCAAAACACGTGGCACGCGAGAAACGCGACGCTCCGGCTCACCGCGGGCCCCCGGTTCGTTTGATTTATAATAATCGCTCAATCCTCATTACGGGAGGCTACCTTCATCCCCGCGGGACGCGGACCAACGAGATTGCCCGGCGAGCGTCGACGTCGGGCCGAAAGTAATCCCGCCTCGTGACAAAAAGCTCATACATTCTTCGCCGTTCGTCGTCGTCGTCGTCGAGAATCGAGCCGACAACGCGCGCGATCGTAGACCGTATATATACCTTTAACGAGTAAAACTTGACACCTTGAAATCGCAGCGCGGAGTGGAATTTAGTAGTCTTTCGAGCTGCGACGACACACGTGCAATCCGCTTTTTTCGCGAGAGGCCGAAGGCTTCGTCGCTTCGCGTGGCCGCGGATTTGCCGGATCTTTACGGATTCGTTTTACGTTTACGGGGAAAAATGTATACGTACGGAGGGAATTAATGAGAGAGACGGGGAGGACGGTGGTTAGAAATTATTTTGCCGGGGCACGTCTTTCGGGGCATGAAGAAAGAACGTACGTTCCCTCGATCGAGGATATAAATTAGCGGTTGGCTGGAAAGTGGAGTACATCGCCACGAGGACGCGGCGCGGATGATGGTTGGGCAGAAATGAGTTTTCATCAAGACTCCGCGCGGCGCACAGCCATTTCGTCTATATGGATACCCCCGCGTAACGTATGTAATAGTTACATCAGATTAGAAGCTGGGGAAGAGGAAAGGGGTCGAGCGTGTAACCAGGCCTAATGCCGGGGTAAGCATCGAGTCACGGGGGGTGGAGGCGGATCGTACTTATTACACGTATATACCTCGAAACACGTCCCCGCTGTGCCACACATACACCTGCGCGAAGGTAGGCAAGGGTAACTATACGAGGGTAAGGAGTCGCCGGTGGCCGCCGTAAGGGCGGGGGCGAGGGGTGTTTCGGTAATCGTGCATTAATTTGCATCACAAAGTACACGCCACCCGCCACGCTACGCACGCATTCCACGTAGTTTTCCGCTCGCTCCTTCTTCTGTCCGGCGCGAGTTCTCAAATCGCGATTTCTTTCTCTAGACGCCCGCGACAATCATTAGACGTCGAATCTAAACGCCTACGTTAGACGTGGGAAATGTCAGAGGGACATCGGCTGACGAGTGACTGTATATAGGAAGAGATTGCGAATCCCCGTCCACCTGGGCGCGACACGATCCAGAATTTCGTGTCGCGACGCGGTGTAATTTATGCAATTAACGTAAAAAAAAAAAAAACTGAAATATGAAAATGAAGTTGTCGGCGCGGCTCGCGAGAGCGGAGAGACCGCGCCGCGATCTCGCCGCGATCTGTTTCGGGAATGAGAGTCACGGTTTGCGGCTACCGGCGGCAATATTTTGCCGCGCTTTCCCTTATCGGTACGGTTGCATATTTAAGGGTTGCCATGTCAAGCGTCAAGCGCGCCCTTTGAATACATTTAAATTCATTAACGGCGAAGGCTATACTCCCGCCTATATACTCTATAATACGTCGCGCGGTAAGAAAACACGCACACACGGAGCGCGCACGGAGTGTGCTCGCGATACGCCACTCCGAAGGATCTAATACGGCGATGCGCATTACGTTTCACGTTGTGCATACCGTGTACCGACTTGCAGTTTGCCGTTAAAAGTCTTAAAGACCGCGTACTTGCTCTGTTTCAGATACGGCAGCACGTGATCGCTCGTCGCCATGCCGCACACTGGTGAGTAGACAACACTTGCTTTTCTCAGATTCCTTCGGATTGAAGGTATCATTCTTTCTCCGACTGAAACACACACCGTTCACAGAATGTCCCACAGGTCGCGATTTTAATTTTTACAATCACCTTCCCGACCAATTTGGAGTCGATCTTTTTTCTTGGCGAAAATGTCAGGGAGATCGTGATTTATTGCAACTTTCCAATTTTCTACGTCGTATAATCTTATAATTAAACTTCAAACCGAGATTCTGTTAAAGTGAAAAATTGACGTCTCTTAACTTAAAGAATATAATATAATTCGCTATCTGTTTATTCCCTTAAAATTTAATTTGCGAAAAAATCTTTTTCTTGAATCGCTCATTATTCAAAGATTATTGAAGTCGCGTGATTTTCACTGAGAGAAAATCGCGCGAAGCCATACAAACTAAAAAATCTATCATTAAAATCGCGAATTGTGGGATACATCTATCTGGAATTGAAAATCCTATAATATCAAGCAAAGTTTTCAATAAATTTAGTTATATAGCTTCTCGTTAATCTATGACAGCACTATTTCTAGTGCATTTCCATTTTGTCGAGAATTTTGAGAAAGTAGCGGCTAAAGGATAATCATTAAATCGCCTCAGCAGCGTACGCATAGCTGAATGCTAATTATTAATGCCGAAGAAGAGACGTCGGCACGTCGCAAACAGCAGTTAGTTTGCTAAACAGCCAATCTCACCGCGCAATTCGGTCGTCTTCGCTTCCTGATTTATGTGAGAAGGAATGTAACACATCGTTATGATTTCTCCGGGACGGGGTCAGCTACCGTCGCGTCGGCGAGATCACAGGTCGAAATCGGTGATGAAAATAAAAATTTCTGCCCTCCCCCCTCCTCCTCTTCCACGACCGAAGAGAGTCCTCCTTCTCAAGCCCGGCCGGCTCAAGGCTAAATTACGCTTTGAAAGGCAGTTTGACAGTAATTAACGAAGAATTTTATACCGCGGATCGAACGCCGACATCTATAGGCCTATTATTAAACGAGTATAATTATAATCCACCGCCTCTCCTCTCTGTTTCCCTCCTCGCTACGCTGCTCTGCCCGTGTAAAGAATCCTGCCCGGATGCCCGATCGAGCGATCAATCTTTCGCTCTTCCGGCGAGGCACACCGGCGAAGAGAAGTCGTCGAAATTAGAGAAAGTATTCCCCGTTCCGGTTTTTCGTGCGGCCTTTCGGGAATTATTAATATTGATTAACTTCGCTAATGCATAATCTTTGTTGATCATATAATTTGCGTAATGTTTTGCTGACAGTCATTAGCAGCTTTCCTAAATCACGTCGCCGCGAAGCAAAACATTACGCAAATTACACGGTCAACGTATCGAAATGATTTAGCGAAATCGTAGAAAATTTTCGATGTGGAAATGTGAAACTAACTATAACGTGGATAATTTTCAAGTTCGTTATTGCATCGAATAAAAATTATTTACAAGATTATGCTGGCTATATTTGGTCGGGCGATAACTATCGTGGTTCGTAATGCGCGCTTCGCAGATTCAATGTTACCTTTTAATTATCAGCGAGCTCATGTTACATATGTTACCTCTTAATTATCTGCAACATCCAAGTCGCGGATAATCATTGGAGCGATAAACGCTTAATAACAGCCGCCGTGGTTAACCATCTTGATATACTTCCATTTAAGGCTATCTCCCGCATGTGTTCCTTTTAAGACAGATGATGACGGGGCCGATAGCGCGCGAGCGAGCTAAACCGGTGACCGATCCGCGCCGATTCGGCATCGATTTCGAATCGGCGCATTGCGATTCCCCGGTACGACGTGTTGCTCTCGCTCTCGCTCAGAGAGAAAAAAATCTGTTAGCATGGGCGCGGATCGTGATTACAGGTAGGCAGGTGTAGAGTTTGGTTAGGGCCTAAATGGCCGGTGCGATAGCGATCGTTGTTGGCGATTGCATTAGCCGGCTAATTCTAAGCTGAGCCAGTATTATATATCTTGAGAGATATCCCTTTATGCACTCGCGAAAGGACCTTGCGCTCGTAATTTGACAATTTGCACTCTGTTGAGAAAATATAAGCGGAAACATAAGAGGAGATTAAAAATATTGATATCCTAAATAAAATTGTAATCTCTAGTATATGTAATTACTTTGAAAATTGGTCAATCAATCGTTATAAATATTCTATAAATTTTTTTTAATATAACAAAAACAGAAAAGAGAAAGAAAAAGATAGAAGAGAATCATCATATAAAGTAGATTCATACGATTCTTAAATATTTTATATTTCTTTTGGAAGAATATTAGTATTTATATTTCAAAAATAACTTTTAAATAATTTTTAAATATTTTTGAAGCATAACATAAATATATTCTTAATTTTTAATTACTTTATCAAACAATAATAATGTAATACTAAAATTAATTCTTTTAATCGTAATGAAATTTATGGCGTGCACGATTAGATAACAAGAAATTCCATACTTTTATTTCGTCGTAATTAATGTAGCTTAACAAGCTGCCTATATCTTCAGTCGACAATGGGTCAAAAGTCAAGGTTAAAACGTATTAATACGGCGAAAAAAAATTTAATTCTTTTGCTACAACAAATTTATGGAAACACATATATATATATATATATATATATATATATATATATATATATTAGTTTCAGTTTTATTTAATAAAATCTTTTTAATCTAAATTGACAGGATTTTTGCAGTATTGATTAAAGATTTAATCAAGATCTAGTAAATTAATTGATATTTTAGAAAACATGACTATTAAATATTTTGCAGTGGCAATATTTAAAAAAAATCTAAAATAAAAAAATCCAAATTTCAAATTCCAAATATAAAATCATAAAATTTGAAACTAAAATTTATAAACATTTGCTGACGTAAATAAATTGCAACTTTCCTGGCAATAATTAAGAAGAAAACAAGATAATTTGAAAAAAAATCTAATGGTTGTTCCGCGAACGGAAAGTGCACTTAAAGTACTCATCACGGTGGAAAAACTGCGCATTTAATGTAGCGTATAGCATCTATTTAATAAACTAGATCGTCCGCACATCCGACCCGCGTTTATACGAGAGAAGCGTGCGGTTTATCGCGCCTTTAATTATTGCAAACGCGTCTTTATTAACATCCGATGCCGTTATCAGAGATAACAGTAATTTCGACCGCGACTACGTTCGTACGTATAGCAGCCTATAACGTATTTCCGAGAGCGACTTTTTTTTTAACCAATTTCCATCCTGGTTCGCCGCTCTTCGCTTTGGCCCCTTTGCAGCAGATCGCGCGTTTCCGGTATTCCGATTTCCGTGCGTGCGCTTTTTGTCTCAGGTAAACGAGTGGTCCCGCGTGCTATTTATGATGCGCGCGCGGCGCGGCGCGGCCGTTACCGCGCGGTTCCATTATTTCGCGGATCCACCGGCAGATTTGCAGTTAGATAAAGACGCCATTTCGGCCGGTTTTTGCCGTAATAATAATTTGGCCCGCTGTGTGTCCGTCCGCTTGCGCGTCGCCGTCCGTCTCCCGTTGCCCGAAATGCCGTAGCGTGTATAATTTTCGTGGTGCATGCAATCGCGTCACAGAGATTGGTGTGCCCCCCGGCAGAACGAATGAAGGGCACATTAAGGGATAAATAATTAATCAATTATATGAAAATGGTTTGAGAACGAACATTAATTTAGCGGTATATGCGTAAAGCTCAAAGTCGAAGGGTTCACGTTCATTGTCAATTCGCGTTTAAACAAAGAGATCCGATCTTTATTTATTTAATTATTCTTTTTATGAGAAAAATTCTATCTCGCTCGCGGCGATGAATCGAGAGTACATGTGCGAGTATACTCGGTATAGCCGCTAATGAATAAGACACATGCGAACACGCGAGACGCGCATTCCCCGGAAGTAATTTCTCCGAAAAGTAATTTCTCCGAAAATGAGTCTTACCCGGCTGTGTGTCCCTGTCACCAATCGAAAGACCCTTAAATTATCCAATAAGGACAATCCGTCACGCCTTCGACCGGTGGTCATTATCAGCAATTCCCACTTCGTGCTATACGCCGCCGCCGCCGCTGCGAGCGTCACGTCCGTCCGTTCCTCTCCGCTCTCGCGGAGGACGTCGTCGTGAAATTGTAGGAGCGTTTCGTAATTTTCGGCCGCGGGACATGTAATGGCTCTTTCGCAGATTGCGCTTACACGAATAAACGGCTAATGGGCGCATTAATTGGAAGACGATTTTTATCTCCCAATTTAAAACTCGTATATGTACATGTATACTGCATGCATGTAATCTATTAGGAAGGGAAATTATTAGGAATTATCCCGAGATATAAAATCTCGGTGGCACATTAAAAAAACAACTCGACATCGCGAGTATAATCGCGCTGATCATTTGCTTCCACAGAGCGTGGAAGCTCGTTTCGGGGAAATACGGAGAATCACGGTCAGCGATCTCGCGATCGTCCCGTCAATTAGCCCGTAAAACGCCAAATAAAGCTCGGATTCGTGGAATCCGAGAGTAAATGCCGGTGGAAATGATTGACGAAAACCTTTTCTTTGGCCCGAATACGCGCGCGGCGGCCGCTCGGGGGAGAGATCGTTATTTCTCAAGCTGGTTCGGAGGTCTGTCGGCGTCCAGTGATCGTGGTAATGACATAATTAGTCGGCGCGGATAATAATTAGCGATCGTCCTGGTACTCGCGGCTCGCCCGTGCATCCGGACGCGTCTACGTGAAGGCGCGTGGCTTCGATTTATATAAGTCGCCCATGGCATTTATGCTTTTGGTCTTTTTTGCCCTTCTATACATATTTTCTTTCACGAGGGAGAAGCCGTCGTTAGTAACGCCGCTTCTGTGTAAGAAGCCCCCTCCCCCCCCTCTCTCTCTCTCTCTCTCTTTCTCGGCTCCGGTTACGTCGATAATGATCGCCGGGGAATAAAACCGATTATTCTCATTACGCGGCAAGTTATTATTCGTTAAACTTATATATAGCCGACGATTATCTCCACCGGCGGCGCATCGATGCAGAACCGCAGAACCGGGCCAGATTGCTCACACATCCTTAAGACTCCCCTCCCTCCTTCGCCCTGTATTGCAACAATATCATTACGACCAAAGATTTCTAACTGATATCGCGATGGAGTTACGTTATTAAAATCTAATTGTAATTACGAAAATGTGTCATATATACTTTTCACGTGGTCATTCTTTAGCGTGGCGGCAGATTAATTAAGACACGCGAGAGCGCTTTTTTTTTCTTGGAATCCGAATTTCACGCTGCCGAAAGTTGTTGGACGGTGCGGACTTTTAAGGCTAGAGCTCGACTTAGGAATAGCGAGCTGAATATTAAACGACGAGAGATTCCCATGAAATTCCGAGCCGCGTGTAATAATTATGCCGTTATAACTGATCGTCGTCTCGAAAAACTCACCCAGACGATTCGAAAATTGAGGATTCCTTCGCGCGTCAAACAAGTCGATCGAAGAAATTTACGGCGCGATTTCAATACAATGTTCCACAATCCTTCTAATCGAACGTCTAACGTTTCGTGTAACGAGAAAACACACGGAAAACTATCGCGTATAATTCAGATTTTATTCGACGCGTTAATGCGCACCGTGGATCGTTTGAGCGTTCATTTTCGAACGGCGGAACATAAAATTGGTGATCAATTGGCGTTTTTATTCGCGCGCGACGAGACGGTCATTACTGGTTTTACGACACCACCGCGAGGGGAATAATATCGGTTTTATAAAATTTTCGACAAGTGTGTGCTGCGTTGATTATACGACGTGTCGCGCATTCAATGCGTAAATAACTTGTCCGTAACGCCGTGATTTAAAGTCCGCGGGACACATTGTGCTTTTCGCACTCGCGCGCTGCTAAATATGAAAATTACGCGATTACACGTTTTATGAATGTCATTAAGAAGAGGGGAAAAAAGAACGAAATGGTTTCTAAAACGACCACTTGCGGGGTCTCTCGTCTTAACGTTTCATTCCAATTAACTTTTACGCTTCATCGATGGGCCTGAACTTCATTCCGAATCTTCGAATTATGTTAATTTTTATCAGTCCCCGAAACTACGATTTTAACATACGACATTTTTTAAATCGTCAACTTTTATTGAACAGGAAGTCGTTTCATATAATGAAACATCATCTAATTACATATTTAGAATTTAGAATTCGAAGTTCTGGATGAACTTTAGCGAGAGAAACGAGAAATGACGATATTGCGCATAAACAGGAAGTACTTTACGTTTCTTCACACGAAATGAATTTAATATTTCGTGGAAGATGTCTTCCGCGAGTGTCGAAACAATAGACGGTGGCACACCGTTTTAACGAACACTTAATATCTTTGTTGTATAAAACCGGCGAACTAATTACCTGATTCTACGTTAATTGCAAACGACCTTCGGGAGTAGTAAATACGTCGCGGGATTTCGCTGCAAGCGCTACGCACGATCTTCCTAATATTACTGAAAATAATAACACGTCTATGCCGGACGGAGAGGCAGGCAGGAAAGGAGGGAGGGAGGGAGGGAGAGAAGGTTCTTTCCGTGATATTCGTCGTAACAATGTCATTAGAGGGCCCAGCCAGGACCGCACGTCAGAGAAATGCACCTGCCGACCTTCTCGGACGACCGCGAGAGCATTATTAGCTGCAGATTTCCGACTGTCCTCCTCTCGAATCGATAAACACCTTTTGCCGTTCCATCGACGCGAAATCTTGACTCGCCGCCGCGCCGCCGCCGCCCGGCGACTTCGGACCGGCTTATCGCGCGCCATCGTTATGTCGCCCTATTAACACAATAACGCGACTGACTGACTGACTACTCTTCCTACAGGGCAAGCCGGGGTGAATCAATTAGGCGGCGTCTTTGTGAACGGCAGGCCGCTGCCGGACTGCGTGCGCCAGAGAATCGTGCAACTCGCCATGGTCGGTGTCAGGCCATGCGATATCTCACGACAGCTACTCGTCTCTCATGGCTGCGTCTCCAAGATACTCACGAGATTCTACGAGACGGGAAGCATCCGACCCGGCAGCATCGGCGGAAGCAAGACGAAGGTAAGGCCTGATCTGAGAGTCCGCAATTTTTAGAAGAACATCTATATATGTTACAACCGCATACCTCCTTAAACTGCGATTATGTTATTTTTTTTACATCGCCTATCGATTCGTTTTATTGTCATTATTGCCAATGCGTGTATAAAAATAATTCATATTTTATGTAAAAATATGTTAGAATAAAGTATGAAATATCTCAAAACCTCTCTTAATTGTTTTTTATGGTTTATTATAGTAACTTAAATATTACGTAATAGTGTGGAATAATTAAAATGTATTCAGAAAGTCCAAGATATATTTTAATGAATTCGAGTTTAAAAAACTTGCGAATATTTCCTCGAAGAAAATTTAATCGCTAGCAGAATGAAAGTTGTTTGAGAATAAGAATCACAGAGACATTTGGCATAAAATGCGCGAGTAAGAGTGCGAGTTCAGGAAAAGATTAATGTCCGGTTGCCTTCGCAAAAACACGTGAAAACGAGCGATCGCGCATCAGCGTGCGTTCGCGGGCAGTGGCTCTGATGAGAGTCAGTCCTTCCCCTGCGCGTACGGAGCAAAATCCTGATGTGATTTTAAGTAAGGGCTGCGTTTTTTTGACCGTGTGCGTGCAATTATCCAAACACCTTGCGGTGCGCGTAATCAGCATTTGCATAATTTCATGGCTTTGCACGGTTTTCTTTTGCTGACATCACGCGATGCGCCCCGGCGTCGCTCGATAATAAATTAATCGATCCGTCGGTCGATCGGTGAGATTGAAGTGAAAACCGCCGCCGCCGCCGCCGCCTCCTCTTGTCGCGACGCGTCGCGAATGGAAATTACACCTGCAGGTAATCGAAATCGATCTCGCGAAATCGCAGGACGCACGTCGACGTTTCTATCGTTTTCGATCGTAATCGCGCTCGTCGTGAAGTTTAACGACGAAACGCAGTTTTTTTTACCGCACGGTAATACTCCGCGTCTGGTCGGCTCGGGCCACGCCATTTCGCGCCCCCCGGGCGTGCATCGCGAAGCTGCAGCACATCGACGGTGCGTGCACTCGCGGTATCGCGCACATTGCACACGCCGCTAATGACAATATAATTGCACGGTGCGTATATGCACTGGGAATTTCTTACGATGCGCCGACCGCGGACTGTTATACTCTGCGCTTAATGAATTTATTTTAATAACGCCGCGCGTCGGCGTGCGTCGACCTTCCTCAAGTTGCGAGCCGAAGGTTTGGTACGCCGACGAAAGAGAAGCACACAAGAACGGAACAGACGGAGAGAGAGGGAGAGAGAGAGAGAGAGAAAGAGAGGTGGCCTTTAGAATTCTGAAGAGGACATTTAAATTCCGTCTATAACACGGGGAGGGAGGGGACCGATTACGTGCGCATGTAAACGATAGTCATCATCTGCCATTACCGGCGTTCGTTTTATTTCACGTATGTCAAAATAGTCGTGGCGGAATAATGGTTGCGCGCTTAATACGGCTTGGTCCTAAAGTCTTTTTTAACCGCGATCTAATACGCGATCAGCCGAGACACAGAATTCTCTTTGCTTCTTCTTTTCCTCTTTACGACAAGTAAACGGCAATACCTTTGGGTAATTTGGGTGGGAAATTAGGAAGACATACGAGCCTCCCTTCTTCTCCTCCTCCTTCTCTTCCTCCTCTTCCCTCGAGGGAGATGCGAGCATGCACGAAAAGGATCAAGTCGCTCGCCTTGCACGCGCAACGTATCCTTGCCCGCCCACCGTCGTGCGCACAAAAGATCTCCTCTCTCGGAGGAGATCGTTAGATAACACACCGAGTCGGCGGCTCGTCACTATCCCCTGTCTGTAAGTGGCTTTTACAGCGATTTAAAATTACGCCGATAATTAAATAATGGCTACTAGGTAAACCCTTTGATTGCCTGGCAGTATTAACTCGTCGGGGCTCCCTCGGGAGAACCGGCATTTAACCGCCTCCCCGGTTCCTCCCCCTCTTCCTCACGTCGATTTCCATCATCGATGGAGAACGCTCCGATTTTCCTGCTGAGTAACGAAAGATGAACGACGCTCTCGGTCGAGATAACGTTGCTCTCCATTTTAAGTCTGTTATTACGACTTTCCGCGCCCTCCCATGCGCGCGCGTGTATCCCACGATACATATTGCCCTTCGGACACAGATGATCTTCTCGCGCGCAAATTTGGTGCAAAGTGCGTGCCTCTCAGGTGTTTCATATCAATCGCCCGACCTCGGGCGACTGCGCATATTTGCAGTAAGACCCAATAGCCTGTGTTTAATTAAATTCGCGCTCTCGGGAGTGAAAGATTAATTTCAGCGATGCGCTGCGATCCCAGTCTCTCCCGTCTCTCCCCCTCCCCTCTCCTCTGTCTCTCTCTCTCTCTCTCTCTCTCTATCTCTCTCTCTCTCTCTCTCTCTCGCTGCAAGCATCGTGCGATGCAATTTAGCGTGCGATCTCGCAAAATTAATCGACCAACTATCGGCGAATCTACACGTGTACTCAAATGTGGTACGTAACATTTTCGAGGCATGTCCCACGTACTTTCTCTGCTACCTCTCTCTCTCTCTCTCTCTCTCTCTCTCTCTCTCTCTCTCTCTCTTCCTCTTTCTGTCTGTCATACGCACGCGTGCGCGCGTCAATGTGATACGCGTCGGATAATAGGCCCGGCGGCGGCACGACAGAGAAAATTGTCTCATGAAAAATGCACAGGCCGCGTCGAAGCCGCGGATAATAAAGTGGAACGTCAGGGAAAAAAAAATCCGCCGCGATCCGCCCCGTTCTCCACGTACGTATACGCGCAACGCGCGTCCAAAGTTTCCTTCTCTCTCGCATAACAACTGGGTAACATCACGACAAAGTGCCCCGCGGCGTCGTGACGCTTTAGCCCTCTTTACCCCCGGTAACTCGATAGCGATCTCGCGGCTTTCTCGAAACCGTTGAGCGAATTCCCGCTCCTTCCCCACTCTGGAAATGATTATTGTCACGGCTTCGACCCCGGCGAGACACATTCATTTTCTCCGCGTACGGTTCACGCTCGACGATCGGACGTTTTTCCCCGTTTATCTGGCAATTAAGATCTCGCTCGGCGGAAATACCCGCGTATCTGACCGTCCCCTTGGCGCATGGACATGTATTTATTTTCCCGATGCATGATTTAACAGCGCTTGAAACACCGCGACAAATGGGAACGAATCGCGCGTCGTTCCCCATACGACGCGCACACGAGGTCGCGCTTCAAACGAGAGAGTTCTCAATCGACAGCGTATGGAAGATTTATTTTGTCTAGAAACTGCGGATAAGAAAAATATAAACAGGCAGAAGGTTTATCAGTCTGTCAAATAAAGTAGAAGATAAATTTCAGAAGGACAATTTCATTTCTTGTATGCTTTTTTTTTTCATTCATGCAAGGAGCAATTTTTTAATTTTTTTTTTCTGTTTCGGTTTTCTAACTTTACTGCATCTAAAACTTAACCCTTTTGTATAAACTTAATACTTTCTAAAAGTGAATCAGGGAAATTACTCATTTGCGGTATATTTTCCAATGGCATACTAATACAAGTAAACCTCGGGGAACGTCAGACACCGATTTTTCTCAAATTTTTTACAAATGTTTCTTATGTCAAAATATGAAAGAATCTGTCATTGGTTTTAGCTCAAATTTATTTTTTCAATTAAAAATAAATTTTTTTTAGTTTACGTAAATACACAACTTTACACATACCTATTTAAAGCTGTATTTCTTACAAAAATAAATCTAAGAAACATCTGTAAAAAATTTGAGAAAAATCGGCGTCTGACGTTTCCCGAGGTTTACTTGTTAGAACTATGATAATCAGTGAGTATTTTAATGTCCTTCCAGTGATAATCTACTGATTCAAACAGTGAATATCAGGGAAAGACAGCGAATTTCAGTTCTCACATCTGTTTGACAGTGAAACTCGCTGTCCTTTAGTGATATTCACTGTTTGAATCAGTATTCATATATTCATATTTTTACTAAAAGAACATTAAAGTACTCACAGTTCTAAGTTATATGCCACCGGAAAATGATATACACTGAAAATCAGTGATAATTTTACTGATTCACTTTTAGAGAGTATACGCGTACTACGATTAATCGATCATCTTAAATAACCGCTTTATTTTCACCTTTCATTTTCGCCATTTCGCCTTTTATTTCACTTTTCTGAGGACAAATCAATCGTCTCTCATTTCCGACGACACTAGCGCGTCCGTAGGTGGCATGGGAAAAAAAATGGGGCGGAAGGTGTCGACGCTCGGCGTCGGCCTTATCATTCACGAGCACTCGGGGCATTCGGGGCGCGCATGTAGCGGGGCGCGCAACTTACGCGCGATAATTACCGAGTTGGTGAACCTGTTCGTATATACACGGCCCGGGTTATCTAACGTTTAGTGCCAGATGTCCATTCTGTCCAGCCAATTTCCTCCGACGGTAGCACACATACATACACACATACACGTACGTGCACACGTGCAACGCATGCTCACGTGCGTGTCCGCGCTTCGATGTGCCCGGACGGCGACGCGAGGGTCCGCATTAGGACGCACCGTATATATTGTCGGAGCAGCAGGGGTAATTGTGGCAACGACGACGACGGAAGTGTCAGATTAGAATCTGAGATGCTCCCGGGAGCACGCGATGCTTGTCCTAACCCCCTCAAACTATTAGGCAGGCCCTCTCCCAACTCTTCGCTACCCCCGGAGGCACTAGCCCCTAAACGTTCCCGCCAGTGGTGCTTTCACCTGCATTCCGAGTAATGACATCTTGTATACTTTCGTATTATTATAACTCCGTATCTTAACGTAATTTTAAACTCACTGCCTGTTATACTATCCAAACTCGAAATAAGAGGATACTTTCTGCCATTGATTGGTCTTTGACTTGTGCTCACGACGGAAACTTATTATTATATCAATGGCTCGCGAATGACATTTTTCTTGAAAAGAAATTAATTAGGACAAGCAATCACGCGAACATTTACGGCGACCCTGTAATTTCTTTTGGCTCTACCGAGCACATCAGTCCGTGACGACCGTTTGCTTGTATGCCGATCGTATCGATTGTTGTCGGTATTTATTCTGCTCCTCTTCGAAACAATTTGTCGAAAGAGAAAAAGGGAGAAAGAGAGATAGAGAGAAAAAGATCGTATCAGGTCCACGCAACCGAGCACAGATTACCCCGGCGCACGGAGGCATCGATCTTCTCGCGCGAAATGAGATCGGTGCCGGTAATCGACAGGTTCGGTGATACCGTTCCGCTCGGTGATACGTGTATACACGGCACATATGTGTACGAACCCCCGCACGGGCTCGGGCATGGACCCGTGAAGACGATCATCTCTCACCCGTGCGAGACCTCTCGGTGCGTCTCGCTCGCGCCGCCGCGTCGCGCCTGCCATCGCCCCCAAAGAGATCGGCGATCTCGAAATCTGTACGGCCGGAATAACATTTCCATCGCGTTAGCATAAAATTATCCGCGTGCCATTACCGTTCATTAGCAAGTCAAATTGACCCGCGCGCGGCCAGATTGAGCACCACTGGGACCCCCCCCTCCCCGCCCCCCATTTCGGAGGAGCGAAACCGATGGTGGGCCTCGGTGGCAGGCAACGGCACCGGTCCGGTCCGGTGGACGGTACCAACCGACCGCACAACCCGTTTCTTTGGCGAAACGGGGGTTAAACCGAAATAAAGTGGGTAGGTGCCTTCGCCCACCGCACCGGACGGGCTCCCCGCGCTATCTGATTGACGACCCCGTCGTGCTCTTCACCTGTGAACGACATATGCGTGCACGGCCCGCTACGACGATGGTGTGACCGCGTTCGTGTTAATTTGTCGATGAGATAACGCGCGCGCGGTTTCGGCTTTAACGAAAAAAAAAAAGATAAACTGATTAACAACAACATCCTGCCACCGATAAACATCCTTAGAAGGTGAACGCATCTAAAATTGATAAAAATTTTTACCTGTACGACAACAAATGTCAAGTAACGTATTTGTATCGTAAAATCGTTGATAAAGCTGGAATCACCGGCCGGACGTCTTATAGAATTTCCAGTTTTTTCTTGTACTAATCTATATGCGATGTCTCACTTCTCGCGCATTACTTTTTAGATTCTTTGATCAATTTACAGATAATTTTTTCTTAGTAAAATTCGAGGAATTGATAATTTTCGAGTTATAAACGACAAAAAGAGTTTTCTGCGAATTAAGTTTTATAGAGATAAACAGTTTATAAAACTACACATTTTACAACTAATTTTAAAGTTTTATTTTATTTTAAGGTGAGAAATCATTTAAAAATTTGATGCTTAATTACTAATTAGAAATATGTAATGTCAAAGATTTAGAAGATTTCTGGTATTTTCGTTTAAGAAAAAAATAATTTTAAATTAATTAAAAAGTTTGTCATTAAAAAATAATACACATGTGAGATATGCATTTAACATATGAAATGTATATCTACCTCTGTATATTTCCTTAAAATCTATACATATGTATTTAATTTATATTCTGTATATGTTGCAGCAAGTAGCTACGCCGACGGTGGTGAAAAAGATTTTACGGATGAAGCAGGAGCAGCCGACAATGTTCGCCTGGGAGATCCGCGAACAGCTCGCACGACAGGGAGCTTGCGATCCCCAGAGCTTACCCTCCGTATCGTCGGTCAATCGTATTCTCCGAGGTGGCGGGCTTCACACCGACATCCCTGCCATCGAGAGCGGCGCATCCGGCGGATATACGTCGCAAATCCCGTCGAACGCTGGAGCCAGAGGTAAAGAAGCAGCAATTGATATACCAAAGATAACTCTTCATTAGCGTTACCGGACACCGATGCTCATTCATAGACTTTCGGCTACTGAACTAAATAGTAAATGACAATAAGCTCGAGCGCGCTGATCAAGGAACACGCGGACGCGTATATTTTCGTTGCGAAGCTTCGTGAATCATTACACGTTACCGCGTTGCTGCGAATGCACCATTACAGACTAATAACGCCTTAAACACCTGTCCCTAGCGTGGAATCGCCGCTTCGCTGCGACGGATTTCTTCTTCTTTTTTTTTCCTCTTGCGGTTATTTCCAGAAGAAAGACGATAAATGTCCGAAAAACGGCGACGGCGAGCGCGCCGAAGGAGAAGAATAGCGAGAATGATCGTGACAAGCGGGAGGGAGGGTGGGAAGGGGGGGAGACAGATCTCTCGAGATACCCCGTTGCCGTGATTGACTCGTCAGCAAAAGCCACGCAGACCAGGCAGGGCAACAGACACGCAACCCCCCGTTGCAGTCGAAACGGAAAATTTGCCTCGCAATTTGTGCCGCTGGATGCTGGAAGCGGTGTTCAATTTACCGGCTTTGAGCAGCTAATTACGAAACGAGCGTCCGGGCTCTCTTTCGTCTTCATCTTTCTCTCAAATCATTTCGCTTACGAGTGACAGTTCTCTTTCTAATATCTCGAAAGAAGTTAATTTTTGTGTGCTCATTAAAATATTTGAAGCTACACGAACATCGTAATAAATAGGAGCAATCAGTATCTGCTAATAAAAATAACTTTTTAATAACTATTAAAAAATATAGGTAAGAACTAGCGGTACTTAAAACGGATAAAAATTAAAGTAAAAATATATCTGATAATCTCGACGATCAAGAAAGATTATGACAGTTCTATATGAGATGGCTTATTTTTCAACAAATAAAAAATAATGGCCAATACGCAACATGTATGCAGTATAAGAATTCGTGTCCGCGTAGTTTTTGACACCTCAATGTTTCTATAATACCCGCATTTTTTTAAGAAGAGATATTTTTTTTTAAGCAACTGCAAAACAACGTGAAAACTGTAGCAATAACAGTTGCAATTGTTCTCCCGCAGATGCACTCATGAGAACGGATTATCAGCTATTCTATCCGGGTGCTCTAGGGCCGTTGCATATTTCCACGAACACTAACAACACCGGCACACCGTCGTGGAATCAAAGCTTCTACTCGTCCCTCTATCAAGCGACTACCTTGCACTTGCAGCATGGAATGCAGTCCTTCGCGTAAGTCCAACAAGAATTGATTTAACGATACAAAATAACTTATTCCATACGGACGCACTTCTATAATTAGTTTGCAATTTTTTATTTTTTCCAGACCTTTAGATGCCGAACGTTTGTCGGAGCAAAACGGCGCGCAGAGTCAGCTGGAGCTGAAGTCGAGTTCGAGCTCGACGGCCGGCAGCGACGATTCGCTGGACAAGAGCGACCTGGACGAGAATCTGGTGGAGTCGCAGGACCACTACAAGTCCTTTCGGAGCACGCCGATCATCCTGGAGCTCAGCCAGAAAATCGGCAGCGATCGGAGCGCGTTCGTCAGGCACGGCACGCCCAATTCGCACGCCGCGAACACGGACAATCCGCGGGAGAGCCCGATGTCGATCGTCGAGACGTCGAAGCGGGACCCGCCGGCGTCGCACAGGATCCACGAGGCGAAGAACACGAATCCGAGCACGACGATGACGACGAACGAGGGAGCGGCGGTGGAGAATCAGCCGCCGCAGCCGCAAAAGAAGAAGAATCCCTACTCGATAGAGGAGCTGCTCAAGAAGGACGAGGGCAAGTCCGCGTCCAGAAGGCCGAGATTACCCAACATCGGCGTGGTCCAACCGTGCGGCATCATCGTGAACAAGGAAATCTAAGGATGTCGATCTCAACTCAAAGAGCGGAACGTCTGGAGGAAATCTACGTTTGCTTTGGCGTATTTACACGAAGTACGAACTATATCGGGATTCACCAGCTGTGGACGTTATACAGTGTGAACGTATGTACACCGTCGGCCATAGGTATGTGTGTAGTATTAATTGGTGCAAAGAACAGCCGTACGATGAAAATTGAATAGCGGGATGGAAGTAGAAGAAGGTTGAGTATCACTATCGTGACACGCGTACTTGAAAGTAAATTTCTTTGCACCTGAGTAGCTCTTGCGGTGAGAGTAGCGAATGTCTTAGATATGTCTAACTTAGACTACCGAATTGAGGAGTTTGATAGAAGAGATTAGAATCAGACGGTTTTTGAAACTTCTTATTTCTCATGCAAGAGAGAGAAAGAGAGAGCAAGAGACAGAGAGAACGTGGCTGTTTTGTGAAGTAAAACTAAAAAGATAGCGCCATATGTAATATTAGGATCGGAAAAAAAAAACACCGTAGTGTCGACCATAATGTAGTGAGGTATATAATGTAATCCTTGTGTAAGTTAACTTATATATAATTAAATTATTTTCATTCCTCCCGTTTTCCGCGTTGCTACAATCTCGACCGCCGTTTCTCGCTGGCGATCGGTACACGGCTGTTAACCGCTTCGAGAATCTAAGATTTTGCTTGACTCTGTAATTGCGCACGGCTAGTTAAGACCGGCGAAAAAAAAAAAGGAAAAGGAAAAGAAGTGCTTGGAAATCCGGGAGTTTCCAATACTTTCACTGATTTATCTCGAATAGTCGATCGCGAATCGCTGACGGTGAAATATCAATTAGCGTTGCCGGGTCTTTCCGCGCGGAGTAATTACTATGCCGACGTCGACGCAAGCGAAATCCAGCACTTCCAGGCTATCGCGTCACGCAATAAAATTCGACATTTTTGTACGTTCCCACCTTTGAGAATACACTGGACATAAACCTCCGACACCCGTATACGTAATAATCGTCGGCGCGAAGAGAAAAACACTAGATGGAAGAGTCTCGGACGGCGGAAATGCTTTAATCTAGCTTGGCTCGAGAGAGAGAGAAAGATGAATCTCGAAAACGCGTTCTTCGGCAAGTCCGGCGGTATCGCTCGGAAGGGGAACGTCCGGGCAGGCAATTATGCGCGTCCGCATCTCCATTGTAGTTCGCACTTTAGAGCCCAGCGCGAAATAGCCGCGCGATGTGCCGTTACACACACGGCGCGCGGAGATCGGGCAATTAAACGAAAGCCTAATAAACAAACGGCTGTAAACCACGCGGATGGAGATGTACGCGTAAGAAGCCGCGCGGTGGCGGCGCGCAGTAAAGCCATAAACGGTTCGGTTGAGGGTGTCATACGTGGACACGCCGTGTGTATACCTTGTAAAATACGACGATGCGTCGCTCGCGTAAAAAAAAAAGTTGGAATTAAATAGCGGTGTTACCGAGCGGTAGAGCCTCCCCCGACCCTCCACCCCCTCACCCTCCTCGTCCCCCTTCTACCCTATCCCCTTTGCATTTACAACGTTGTAAACCTTTGTATCTCGTTCCTCATCGCGGACTAATTAATGCACTATAAAACTCTAGTGCTTCAAATGCCGAACGATTTGCTCGTTTTGCTCCATCACGCCTGCCGATTGCATGCTCGCGGGCTATTTCGGGGTGACGTCTCGATCTTGCAAGAAGCGCGGAAGGGATCTCGTTTCTCGCGCTTCCTTTTATTTATGGCTCCCTCCGCTGAAGGGAGAAAGATTCCCGCCGCAAATCAGCCCGACGTGAAGGGAAACGCGGGGAACACACCCCCCTGTACTTAACACTGGCTGTCTTACAAAGCGGAAGCTATTACGCTGACGCTCAAACTTCCCTTTTATTTGCCATACACGGAGATTATTAGATCTTAAGATGAGTGTGGAGCACACGTCCTGAGAGGAAAAGGCCCGTTACTCGTGTAGGCATTCGCCTGAAATATTTATTTTAGATTTAGACGACGTGAAGTTGTGAGCATTCCGTGCATTCAAATTATTTCTGTAATAATAATTAAAAAAACGACACGGTGAAATTTAAATTTATAAAATGCATCATTTGTCGTTGACTTGTCAAAGGTGAATTTGGATATTCCCCGCGAGATTTCGACTTCATTGCACAGAATGCTCATACGGAGATCTGATAATTAGAACAATAGTTCTGTACAACAATAATTGCGCCCGAACAGTCTCGTTGGTCCGCAAGCTTCGGAAAATGATCTCTCTAGAGTTAGGAATCGGGAAGGTAAAAAGAGAAAATTAAGAAATTAATTTAACCGCGATTTAAATCAAACGATAAAAACATTTGATTTAATCGCGGTTTAATTAATGAAGTTAAGGTGAAAAATGTGGCGAGATAATTACGGATATCATTATAACGCGCCAAGTATTGCCGTCGCAGACCTACGGAGACCGTTGCGTAAAATTATGCAAGTTATCGATTAAATAGTACTCGTAATATAAACTTATTCTGTATGATATCATTAAATACACTAGTCAAAATTAAATGTGTCCCATGTTTACCCTTGTATGTGTCTTTATACCCCCTTTATATGTTTGAAAATGACAGCGATGCGGGAATCAAAGTCGCGTATCAAGATGCGCGTTTGTATTAGCCAATACAGTCATCATTTTCGACGACTTTTACGATCTACAGTTTATGAATAATCATTAATTTTTCTTCTATTATAATATTGCATACCGAAGAAGAGAATCTGTTTACAAATTATGCTTCTTTATACACCATTTCGACGGAATGATTACAAGTTGCGGAGTTGCAAGAGTTCCATAGCTGTGTAAAGTATTTACAGAATACTAACTTCATGACAAAAAAATTTAATTCATAGTTATTCTCGATACTACATCGTAAAGGCACATCAATAAGTACTTAGGGACTTAAATAATTACGTAATATGAATAATATATATATTGCTCCGATAATACGGCACGGATTATAGTGTCTATAAAACTTTTAGTGTAATTTTCTGTCGAATTATCATTTAACATAGGCATTGCACGACGATGTTTAGAAAACTTAATATACAGCTATTTCAAAACTAACTACGAAATTGCTCGATTAATCTTTCTAATTACATAAATGTAATATATATTAATATATAAATACAAACATGAGATTCTTAGGGTAGAGTTAAGAGATTTTAATGGAAAAAATATTCCATTTGCCATTAATAAAAGAGATTATTTCACAAGTTAACATAATTAAACGATATTTAATTTCACGTTTAATAGATTTCCTGTAGTCTCTTATTACCTTCGCGATACTTATTCATATAATAATTGTATATTTGTAAAAAGTCTACAATCTAAGGAAGACAGTTCTTTTCGGCACGTTCTTTTTATATCGATAAGGTAGACTAAAAATACACCACGTAGAAGTAGGAATGTTCACGGCACACGGTATAATAAATGTTCAGTCGTTGAATGAAACAGCTGTCAGTCGTATGCTGTTTTACAGTAGTTTCATCGTCACGAACAGAAATTCCATTCGTAGAAACATCGCAAAAAAAAACGATGACCGAGCAATTGCGCTCGATTCGCGCAAATTCCAGCAAAGTTTCACGCTCCGCCGGTTCATCTTATGTACAATATATCCTCATATTTCATCGGCTATGTACAGGCCCATTTTTTTATCCTTTTTATTCGCAACGGTCAGCCGGCTTAAAGCTGAAAGTTGTGCTGCGAATGATTGAGAGTATTCGTAGACAGAGTATGCACCGGATGCGACGGCGCCGGTGTGTAGAGACTGTGATGGGAGTGCGACTTCGCTCTGGAGAGCTCGCTGTAGCGGTCCTGTTCGGGCGGCGCCACTAGGAGAACCGGTCTCAAGGACAAGGACTTGCGGGAGCCAGCTACGCTCTGAGCCTCGTTCACGTAGCCCGGATTTACTTCGCCTGAGACAAATGAAAAATTGACGACCCGCTTATATTTCCCGTCGAAGAGTCAAAGCAAACGCACATTCGCGAACGATTTAAATCAAAATTGAAATCTTTTGAGAAATAAGAATACTTTTTTTTTCGAACGAATTGCTCGCTGTTAATCACCTTTGTACAAGGATCCGTTGTTGAAAGGCTCCGGTTGTAGCCTCACGTGTCTGGAGGCCAAAATGAAGGCGAGGGCGGACAAAGTAGCCGCGTCCAGAGCCGCGATCGCAGCCAACGGTATCGCCCATCTCACAGCGCACGCCCCGGGATTGTATCTGTCGAAAAAAAAATTTTTCTCTTGATTGCTATTTTTCACACGTTCATTGTTATCGCGATTACGTTTCCAACATATGAGGCTGTCATTATTTATCACTTCGCAATAATTTGCGTGCGAAAGGCGCGTCTAATTGAGATAGTTAGCGTTACAGTATAAAGCTTCTAAAGAAGGCGAAATTTTTTCTCGCTAATGTAGACTTTTTAATGACTATACAGAAATATTCACACCTGGATGCCGCTGCGCCGCATACGGCGCGGATCACCGGCGAGTCCCAGCCGAGAGGATAAATGCACACTCCGATCGCCATGCAAATTGCTGGGGGGAAAAAAAACACCCGGAGTATTATTATTGTTATCTAAAAAAAAAACGGTATACAGTTATATATTCAGCGTCGATGGAAGGCAATGGAAGTCGAAAGACAGATTATAAACGTTTCTGCGACTCGTGCGTTAACTCTTTCTCGGGATAATTATACGGCGCAAAAACGTGAAAAAAAGTTCGATGATAAACATTAAATGATCGATGTCTATTACGGACCTATTACGGCGGCAAATCTAATAATACTTTAATAATACGGACTCCCGTTACGGCTCTATTATTTGCCACATCGCTGCAGTTAGATGCAGCACAGGCGTGGATCGCGCCGCTCTCGCATTTACACGGGCCGTAATTGTGCATGCCTGCTATGCAGGAGGCCGGTAGTGAAAGGGACTTGTGAACAACCGTAACTTTTCTGCTACGTTTACCAGCGAGGCGATATTGTTTCCCCGACGAGCGAGCGAGCGATTTCAATGCGCGAATCACGCGCGGTGGAACACGCGCGCTATAACATTGTCTTCACAGAGCTCGCGATTTCAATCATTATTTCCTTCGATTTCATTGCGCTCTATTTTCATGTACTTTCCATTCATTATCGAGATAGATAATGGACGGAAACCCAACGCAGTTTTCACTCTTGCCTTTCATTGTTCGCATTTTATGGACTTCTTCTTTTTGATAGTCTACGCTCGGGTAATTTAAATCTATTTATTCTTGCTAGCTCTGTTTGGCTTTGCCTGCCTGTTGTATAATATCTCCCGTGCGTGTGTTACTCTTGCTCTTTATACTTTCTAACGATTTTGTAACGCAGATATCGCAATCTTCCTGTATACCCCAGGTTCAGTGAGCCTGCTCCATAAGCTGATGGTAAACGCTCTGCTTATACATCCTATATAGATAATTCATATACTTGAAACGTCATTTAGTTTCTTGCGGTGATATACATTTTCCTCTTCGTGTTTCACGCTACGGATCCGCGCGCGACACCGGCTTGGTATGACTTTCACTAACGTGACTCGACGACGACGACGATGCTCGCTTGTAATGAATCGCTGACACCGCCGAAACTCTGTTGCCGAGACGCTCGAGGCTTGCGTAAGTCTACGCGTTCGCGCCGTTAAATAAAAATTACACGCTCGTCAACTCGTTAGTCAGCATATCCTGCACGGCGCATACCTATTCTTCTTCATACAATTTTTCGCTAATAAACTGCGTTACTGAGCAGGTTTCCGAGAGTTTAGTCATCGTAAAATTATCGTCATTGTAAAAAGTAAATAAAAACTTTGCTAATTTACTCTATTTATAACTATAGTGGGTGAAGCGCGTTGTATGACAACTTTGACGACGAAACACGCAAATTCAGCACCGAGGCGCGTAATTTAGAGATAAACCTATGGCTTATGAGTCATGTACGTATATCTTATCGTGACCAAGTACGTCGTTATTAAGGGAGTAGGTCACCTGGTTGCAAAGTTATAACAATATGGATACGAATTAACGATCCGGTATTAGGATACAGCCAATACATACAGAGATAAAGTCCTCGATAGATAGACTTGAGCGATTCGATATCGATTCGACCGCGGCGTTGGTTCTATACGCTAATCATGTATAGAGGCGTTGACGAACGGTATATGCAGACTGGCTTGGGCACGTTATAACGGTCTATTCTACATTTCGCTGCGGCCGCCACGCGCGGCGACTCGTCGGCGACCCGCGGGCGACGATCAGTCGCGATTACAATTGCAAAAAGGAAAAACCTTCGAATCGCCGAGAGATGCTGATGCGCAACGATGCGCGGCGGGATGTCTCGAGAAGCACATCACGTATATGTGCGTTGCGAAGCAGGAAAACGCACACGCACATGGTGTGTTCCAGTGACACGAAGCGGATTCCCGATAACGAGCTTAGAAATCGCGACGCGGAAATGCTAATCGTTATACATGCGCCCGGATAATGCGGGCTACCTAGCATCAAGGAGAAAGTATCAGAGCTACCTATTTAGCGCGAATGAGCTGCATTCGTTTCCAATTAGAATCTTAAATGCAGAATACAATTGTCTTTTGATTTAAAGGAAGTTTAAGCGTGAATCCGAGAAGCGAAATATTTTATCATAACATTCCTTATTTTGTCATTTTTAAAAGGAGTATCTTTATAACTTTGTAGTATAAAGAAAAAATGTAATAAAAAAAATATGCTAATAATAAAACTGCCTAGTAATTCTTCTAACGATTCAGCCAACGTGAACGTCTCTCTGGATGACACGTCATCCATCAATGAAGCAGTTATTCTTGCAATACCATTATTATTATTTCAGCCGTTACGCAAGCTAACGTTGGACAATCCTGCGGTTACCGTGCGCTTTCTAACCGAGTAAAAAGATCGATGCGACATTAATTCACGAATAGTCTCGCGCGAACAAGAGATTCATCGCGACTGACAAACTTTTAATTATTATTTGGCACACATATTTAACGAGATCTCTGTACGAGATTTTTGTGAAAGAGATCGAGTTTTCTCGCGGGCGCGGGACCGTGGCACGAGAGCAATTTCCGGCGACGATCGGCATCGGTTTTACAGGCCGTTATCTCCGCCGTTCGCTGCAGAGATGAAACCGATCGATAAAGTTCACCACAATAAAGGCGCGTTAAGCGGGACGATTGCGTCACTTCCGCGCGAAGTGATGGGATCCGGCCCGGTTCGGCTCGGCGCGGCGCATCAACGCAATTTGCAATTGCATCTGGCTGATAAGGAATTACGGTCGTGAGATTGCGGTAACGGGTCGCGAGAATATTAGCCTAGCTAATGTTGCGCTTTCTAAAACGGACGCGCCAGTTGCCGCGGAACGTCTTGCCGCGCGCGCGCGCGGTGCAACATTTGGCATTTTAAAGTCGATCGACGCGTGCATGTCCCTCGTGGGATAATTACCTGACACCACTTGCATCCAGGCGCACATGTAGAACACGGTGGTGCTCTGGCAGAAGAAGAACATGAGCATCGCGCAGATCGCCAGTAGCGCGATTATCACCGCGATGCCGACTAGAATCGTGCTGGCTCGGAAGGGAACGTTGGCGATGCTCGACAGGTCGTCCAGCCGGCCGATGCATTCCTCGCCTAGCTCGCCTACATAATTACGAAGCGTTTCGAATTAATAATATGTTTAAATAATTATTCCCATCCGGTCTTGGAATGTCGACAAATTATCGGGAAATATATCAAGTTATCGAGTGATTATACGCAATAAAGCAATGTAAAATGTAGTATTACGTATTGCCTTATAATTAAACCTATTTGCACTGCCATACGAAAGATAATATAAAATGGGTTATTTCGAAATCGCTTGCAGTCAGGCGGAAAGTAAAACGAAAATTCTCATCTCGCGTCGAATAAAAATAAGAGTCGCGATGTAAATATATAACGTACCGTTACCGCCGTAGCTGCACCTGGTCCACAGACCGAATCTCCCGGGATTCTCGTGCTCCAGATCGCCGAGCCATTCCGGGGTGACGAACGCGACGACGCCGATGATGGCGTAGCATATGGTGAAGATGCCCCACAGCACGCCGATCGCCTTGGAATTGCGGATGTAATTGGTCGCGTACATGTGCGAGGACTCGACGTACTCGATCTTCGAACCCATCTCTGACAATTGCCGGCCGAGTTTCTCGATTTCCCGGATTTTCAGCGCGAACTTGATCGTCCCGATCGCCGGCGCGGCGCGTCGTTTAACAGCGATTCCACCTCGCGTAACCGTTCGACCGTAACATCAGCGCCGCGAATTCCGTACGCGGAACGCAGGCGCGACCGCGAGACGTTAAGTAAATCACCGATTAAATCGACGGGAGATCGAGAGATGTTGAGAGACCTCTGAGCGGTTTCCTCTCGCCGATTCTCCTCTCGCGGCGCGACTCGCGGGCGGTTATCACACCGAGAGAAGGTCGTCGCTCTTGGAAACGTCGCTCGCTCCACGAGGTCCAATTGTTCGACAACAATGGGACCGGCCGTGTGTAAAAGACGCGCGTGTCTCGCTCGCGGAGGTAACTTCCCGCAACGAACAAAGAACCGTACTTTCGCTAACGAGCGCACTGCGCAGGCACGACGATTTTGCGATTAAGTCGCGCTCCCTTCGCGAATCCTGACGGTGGATTTTCTCCGAAATTCGGGGGAACTTGTCTTTCTTCTTTTCTTGGTTTACACAATAGACTCTTCTATTCACTTCCCAGCCCGTCTCTTAATCACATCGCCGGTCGCACTGTGCGCCCGGGACTGGCAAAACGATCGCACGCTCGTACCCGCGTCGAACCAACGGCTGCGCCGTCCGTGACATTTACGTTCAGGCACGTTCACCCACGTTGTTAGGCGTGAGTACCTTTCCTCCGCTCGAACACAGATAAGAACGGAGTGACCTGTGGACGAAATAAGACTTACGAATAGCTCCTTCTAAACAAGAGATTTTTTTAAATTTGATTTATGATATTAATTCATTGATTAAGGTCTATTCATTCGAATCTTGAATATAAAAGAAAATATTTTCTCTTATGTAAATACGCCAAAAATCTAATCTAGATCTAGAAGAATAATCGCGATTATTCACAAATGACGATTAAAAGTAAACCACGTTTGGCCGCGTGCGAATCTTCACCCGGCGGAAAATGCGACTTACCGTAACGGAAGCGGCACTTCCTCGGGAATGTTGAAAAAATTCCAAAGAGAACACCAGTGACGTCAGCAACGTCAGGACCTCATCGGAATGCGCGGCGAAGGAAAAGAAGACGCGGGCCAGGTGGACGGCACGATTGAAGCACGGCGAATGTTACCCGGCGCGATCGCTGGTGCCTTGCTGCACGTCGCGAGGTATTGCACATGCGGCCACGGCACATGCGACGGCACGGCCGGCTACAAGGACAGGCGGAAAATGCGACTTGGTGGAAAGACGAGGAGCGCGATACGACGGCGCGCTTCAAGATGGCCGTTTCAGGTGAGCCAGGTTGCCAGGTGAATGTGCGAGAGGAGGGAAAAAGAGAGGATGAAAGACGAGGACGGAGAGAGACTCGGGAGAGAGGAGACCGCCGTCAGGGGACCCTCACGGACCCCAGGCGGCTGCGAAGAGAAAGGTGACACCGAAAAGGTGGCACGCCGCTGTGTTATTGGCTTTGTCGAAACGGATTTCTCCGTCTGGACATAACGGGTTTATTCGTTGGGACTTACAAGTCTCGAAGTACGAATTATTTTTTCTAATTAACAAAAAATGTGTATATATATATTCCTTATTTTATTAACGAATTAATATTATTTTCTGGGTATTTTAATGAGTCGTCATATCATAAGACATAAAGATATCATTGAAAAGAAAGTAATTCTATACGTCTTCTCTGAAAATACATATAAATAATATTAATATACATATGTATGTACATATAAAAATAAAATTATTTTATATGTACATACAAAAATATGCACAGCATTTGTGACACCTTGTGTACATGTATACATATGTATGTACATGCATATAAAACATACGTATATATTAGATTTTTATTTGTAAGTATATTATTAATACACGGAAAGAATTTTTTTTAAATTTACCTTCAAATCATGTTAATTGTGGGACAATATAGTATTTAGGCAAATTTTACTGTGCACTACATTAAATTTTACAGCAGTAAAATGTAGTAAAATTTATTATGCACAGTAAAATTTGCTTAAATACTATATTGTCCCATAATTAACATGATTTGCAGAGTAAATTAAAAAAAATTTTCTCCGTGTAGTGTTTGAAAGTTTTAAGAGCGAAAGACATCGATATTACATTTTTCATAAAAAATACGATATAATTAACATCTTTCTACTAAAACTTTCTATATACAGAGTTATATATAGAATATCTATACATATATAGAGAATATTCGAAATATAATTATATATATTAATAAAAATATTTTTTTTTATTAAGTTTTTATGTTAAATAATTACTGTGTATTAATAAAAATATATTTTTTACCAAGTTTTTGCGTTAAATAATTACTGTGTACTGTTTTTTTTCTCTTTCAGCACATTCAGCTTTCAGCTGATTCCAAAGAGATTACAGCTGATTCGCGTGTTGTCACCTGTCAAATTTTTGACGTAAAGTTTTTATCGATCGCGTAAAGTGCATTTCCAGCGAATCGGCGTCCTCTGGTGACTTGCTACTGAAGATTCACGACAATTCACAGAGTAAAATTCGAAAATGGCAAACCGCACGGTGAAAGACGCTAAATCTATTCGCGGAACAAATCCGCAATATTTGATCGAGAAGATTATCAGATCTCGGATATACGACTCTAAATACTGGAAAGAAGAATGTTTCGCCCTGACAGCCGAACTGCTGGTCGACAAGGCGATGGAGTTGAGGTTAGTGAAAACAAAACATAACCTCTACAATAATTTTCCTTGCCGATAAAATCATTCTTTTTTTATGCATCTAACGGATACATTTATGGAAAGAAATGTTAGCATGTATAAAAACTTTTTTCTAATTAATTATTTTTATCCCTTTAGGTTTATAGGAGGAGTGTACGGTGGCAATGTGAAGCCTACGCCGTTCCTCTGTCTCATATTGAAAATGCTCCAGATACAGCCCGAGAAGGACATCATAGTCGAGTTTATAAAGAACGAAGAGTTCAAATATGTTCGAGCGCTTGGTGCACTGTACATGAGATTGACCGGCTCCTCCCTGGACTGTTACAAGTATCTCGAACCGTTATTCAATGACAACAGAAAGCTCAGAATGCAGAACAAACAGGGCGTATTCGAGCTCATACACATGGACGAATTCATTGACAATCTTCTCAGGGACGAGCGGAGTTGCGACGTTATCTTACCGAGGATACAAAAGAGGCACGTTTTAGAGGAAAATAATGAGCTAGGTACGTTCGGGATTTTTCTGGAAATTGATACGTTACTTTTACTCAGTTATTTTTCTACTACATATTGCCTGATGTTACACAGAAGGGAAGATATCGGCGTTGGAGGACGATATGGATGACGGTATTGAATCGTCGGAGGAAGAGGAGATTCCACCGGTTAAAGAATTGCCGCGCAAGAGGCCGGACGACCACGAGCGGGACAGGGACCGTCACAGAGACAGGGATAAGAGGCATTCCCGATCCGAGAAGAAGTCCGACAAGGAGAAGCAAAGATCGAGGAGCAGGGAGCGGGACAGAGATAGGGACAGGAGAGAACGTAAACGCAGCAAATCGCCGAAATCGCACTCGTCGTCGCACAAAGACAAGGAGAGGGACCGGGATCGTCACAGAAGGGACGACAGAGAGAGGGAGAGAGAACGGGAAAGAGAAAGGGAGCGAGATCGTAGAAGAGAACGCGATAGAGCTAGACATTGAAGTGTGTTTTTGTCGAATTTATATAAACCCGAATAGCAAAGAGAGATAGACCAATTGGTAATGTTTCTTCAATTTTTCCTTATACTCTCGTTCGTATATTTTTAGCGTCAGTATATGACATTTATAAGAATTTCGTATTAAAATTACAACACGGAATTAAATCCCTTGTAACATATTCAAATGTATGTACATTTTCACATTATTTACGTTATATTACAATTGCTTTATTAAATAAAAAAAAAATAGCGACATCGATGCATAATAATGGACGAATAATAATAACTGTTATACCTGCCTTTCGAAACTTATAACGATGTTCTTACTTCGGAATCCTTCGATGCATCTCGCACATTTTCGAAATTTGGTCGGCAAATGTCTCTACAACGGTTTTATATATTCTCTCTCATATATTTTATAAAAACAAAAATACTTGGCAATGTCTAAAACGTAGGCGAGTTCAGAATAAATAATCTCTCTTCCTCCTTCTTTATCCACTTTAATAGCTTGCTCACTGCCTCAATGGCATCTGGTTTCGTTACCAGAGGCTCAAACGTTACGTATAATTCGAAACCAGAAGCCACCTAGAAAAATAAGATACCTTTTTTAATTAAAGAAAAAAAAATTTCGCGATCTCAAGTTGCACGTAAACTTTTACTCACCCACGCCAACATCGTTTCCTTATCTAGCTGCTGAAATATAAGTTTCAAGGGCCGACTAGGAGAATGCAATCTGTGATGCAAACACTGATAAAGCCCTAATAATCTAAAAAAATATATATTATTTTTATTATATGTTATACAGGTATTTTACGTCATATATTGAAAAAAATTCACATTTTTACCGTTCTATCTCTTCGTCCGTCGTGTAAGGTGGTTGAAGTCCAGGACTCCAGAATTGCGCGGTGCTTTTGCATTTGTACAATACGTGACGCATCTCAGGTAACCCAATGTCGGCAGTTGTTATCGTCGGTTTATTCATAGACTCGTTTATCGCCTCCAGACAATTTGTTCGCCGCAATTTCTCCACGATTTTCTACCCAAATATTTATCAATAAATTGACATTCGTACAAACGACTTCTTGTTTATTCAATCGATTTTATCTTCCGCAATAACTCTTACTTGTTTGGCCTCCGATAGCACGAAAAATACATCCCTATCAACTGTGAGCAGCAATAAACACGCCTGGCAATCTTCTGCCAGATACGACACGTGACCGTGCATGTATCCGTTGGAATCGAATTTCGGTAGGCATATCGGCGTCCAGCTCTCGGCGGTTTTGAGCGACTCCGAGCTGTCCACCAGATTTTGTATTATATGTAGATCCATTGGATGTAGGAAAAATTTGTTCATTCTAACTAGTGTAACCAACTGATTGTTAGCTAGGAGTATGGCAAATACTAAGTTCTGAAAGACATAGATTTTCTCTTTTAATAAAGCGAATACTTAAATTCATTTCGATTACGCAAACGTTCAGCATATGTTTGGCTTTGTACCTTAATCTTAGCGCAAGTTTGTATGATGGTCTGCGTAATGGAACTTCTCATAGAAGGTAGTAGGGGCAAACATTTGATGGCTCCCAGAAAGAAGGCGGGCTCTCTGTCCATAAAGTTTAACAAATGATCTATCAGTCTTTCGCTACCGCTTAATAACCGTCGTAGATCAAAGTTTCTTCTTTGATCGTACACTCTATTTAACTGCGACTGTGTCAACACAGAGATTATCTGATTATATACATATCTGCAAATTAAATATGCACAAATGTCAGATATGATATCTTACTTAGAAAGCGAGGATATTATCTCAAAGATGGAATAGCATGTACGTTAATTGTAAAGTGAGCTGAGGTACGCTTTCCAAGGTCTTGGACACCGCCACTAAGATCAGTGGACCCTTCACGACGAAAACAAAGTTCGTGTCGCCGGCGTGCACCGATCTGATCATATCGCTGCCGGCTTGAACGAACGACACTAAAGCCTGCATGACTCCCATAACCGTGACTAGTTTGTCCTCCGAACTGTATCTAGAGTATATCGGTTTTCCCGCCTGACTCAAGATAAAGATATGCTTCTTCTGCGCCAGCCACGTTTTGCAACGCAACGGGTCCCCGTCTAGGTTACTCTGGCCCAAACGGTGTGCGACGTCATCCTAAAATGTGACAATTCATCCGGTTTACGTTCGAAACGAGTTCGTGGGCAATTTTACGATATCAGGCACCCTCGAATTTCATGGAAAATACAGAGGTGATTTCGCATAGAGGCCTAACCATCTCCGCGTCGTCGAGGGAAAGGGTTTTCTCCGACTCCTGCGGTTCGGCGACGGCGGCGACGGCGACGACGGCGGCGGCGGCGGCGACGGCGGGGGTCGCGGAATTGTCCTGCACAGCGTCCTCCTGGATCTCGGAGATGGTGCTGCTCTCCTTAATCTGCCTGTCACCGTCGATGCTGCTGCTCATCTCCTGCTCGTACTCGTCGAAGCTGTCGGTGGTGACGAGCATCGTCTCCGTGGAAGCGCCGGGCTCGATTCCGGGCTCGGCTATACCGCCGTCGTCGATCGACTCGACGACGATCGGCTCCTTCGCAGCCATGTCTCTATCACGTCGAGAACGTCACCGGGCAAGTCGCTATTCCGCCGACTCCACGCTCCACGCTGGCGTTTGGCATCCAACAGCGGCAGACCGACGAGGATCGACCGCCATTCCTCGTTAATTCGTCGCGGAACTGTTAAAGCGCGCTGCTGATTCTGTTTGTTTATGTGGAGACCCGTTTACTGGCGCCACAAAACGTCGCACGATTAAACTACATACATATGCGGCCACGAATATACCCGGCAGATAATAGATCGACAACCTGCAACGTGTTCCCATGTTGTTACCATATGTCGATTTCAAGTTACCATTATATTATTTGGTTCTATTCCGTGCTATAACGGGTAACCAGATAATTTTATTTGTTTATTTTTTTTAACTACCTATATGTATATATATAAATATTTTCCATTTTTGTTTTTATGCAAAGTGCAAACGTATTGAAAAAAAATGGAAGAGAGAAGAATATAATAATAAAAAATATATAAATATAATAGCTGAAGTTAGTAATATCAGCGGTCTCCTCATGAAATTTTATCTAGCATCGCATTTGCAGTTCTACAATTTAATTGGTGCACCTGCCGATAGGACAGTCGGGCGGCGCAGCGGACGTTTCAAATCGCGCGCGAGAGTTACGGCAGCGAGCAGACGCGACAAGTGTTCGCCGGGTACTCCGGGTTAGAGTAATCGCGACGTTCGTCCCGAATTCGGAGTTCGTTGTGTAGCGACGACGCGGTTCGCGCCGCACGCAGGATGGGCGTCACCGTGTAAGTAGCATTCGCGTCTCTGAAGCGATTCGTACGATTCCTCGTCGCGCGACCGCGTGAAGCAAAATGCGTGTCGCGCGTCTCGCCGGCAGACGCGTAGAGGTTATGTCGCACGTGCCGTCTCCTCGGTCGTCGCGGACACGCGACCGGGCGATCGGCGACGCTCGTCCGAGGGCTGCACCTGCGGGAAGTGAAAGAGTGGCATTTGCATGTTCGACAGGCTGCAGCAGTACCCGATGATCGAGAATCGGACCGGGCCGCAGACCATCGAGTTCCTGACGAAGAGGATCGTCGCCCTCGGCGCGGTGCAGGTGGGACAGTTCCTGGTGGATTGCGAGACGTACATGTCGGTGCCGCAGCTTGGTAAGTGCACGTTTTTCTCGTGTGTGCAATTTAACGCGGACTCGAAACTTTCGGCAAGTTTCCGAGTCTACGAGCTTCGGCTGTGGCGTCAGCTAGTACGTGGTTGTTGGCACAGATGGCCGTTGCTTGGCCGTTTACAGACTTATTCCGTGACATTTTTTTTTCTCTTATTTATTATTGTTATTTACAATTTAACTTTTTGGATGCTGCACCAACTGTAGTGGCCGTAGAGCAGTACTACAGTCTAAATATTAATTCTATGAAGGTACAAATACACCAGCTATTCCTAGGCGTCATTACAAAAATATTAAATCTAGCAAGCGAAGCTAAACGTGGCTTGTATAAACAAGATCGGTGTGTGTGTATATATATATTTATTTCTTTTTATTTATTCTGTTCTCTTTCCTCTCTCTCTCTCTCTCTCTCTCTCTCTCTCTCTCTCTCTCTCTCTCTCTCTCTCTCTCTCTTTCTCTCTCTTCCTCATTGAAAATACGTCTTTGTAATTTTATTATCCATGATGATATAATATGCACATAAGATTTAATTATCTTAGCGACGGCCAGCGCTAATTCCCATTTGAACTATTTATTGTCAATAAATTGTATAGTGAATTTATTGTCGAGATAAGAAGTAGTAATTATAACGTGATTCGTTTTTTTTTTTCGTAAAAGCTTTCTCATCACGTCATCAGATATAGTATATTCTGTTGTAATATATAAATTCGAATTTCTAATTGAATCTCCCTATATTTGCTCTGTAACCTGATTGCAACGCGCTAAATATGCATCTTTAATTCGCTAATGCAGATTAATATTTCAATCGTCTCGAGTTACAACAGTCTTCCGCCGATCGCTAAACGTTTTTGCCATTTTTTTTTCTGTTTTGCGTAAAGGGATAAAGGGGATAGATCTACATATCCGTGGCATATATATATATACGTATCTAAAAGCGGCTGTCATCGTTACCCGCAATTACACGCACACTCATCCACGAGTTTTTTTTTCTCCGCACATACGAGAGAGCACACACATGTCCGCGTATATACGCGATACAGACACATTCTATTTATCCGGACTATCGTGTTCCTAAACGTGCAGTAATGCGAAATCTGATCCTGAATTTCACCGTTACCGCTACATATATTACGACAAATTTTTTTCAATTCACGAGAGTGCACAGTGCAGATTTTTGTTTTATACAGTTTAACATACCTACCGGGGGAAAGGAGAGGAGATTCTTTTTTTTTCGTCATGCTTATTACATGGAAGATCTGACGCGATGTGGTCGCTGCGAATAGTTCGAATATGCCACTCGGCGAATAGTACTTAAAGCTCGCTTATTCGGCGCGGTATTACTAAGAACGAGATAATCTTATTGATTAGAGAACTTTTACAATTTACGTAAAATCCGGAAGAGTCGATCGTACATATATATATTCTACGTTTACGCTCGTTTCACGAGCATTGCACCGCACAGTTAAAACTAAGTAATTACAGACGTCATCCATACTGTAGCCCTTGAGCATAAAATATACAGTGCTTTGAAAATATATATACCACTGTAACGTCTTGTCCTCTTTTGGCTAGCTTAAACGTTTATAAATGTATCACTCGACAAATTATACTCTCAAATTATACCCCGTATAGCTTAGATAATCGATTATTTCTTGTAGCAAAAATATGATTTAATTTACCAATGGCTACGCTTAATATAATAAAACCGAAAAATCGAATCGTACCGTAAATTTTTCACGACAAAGTATTAATTCGGATGCGCTGGTATATATCTTTTCAGAGGACACTCTACGCAACATATTTAGCAAGATATCTTTTGTATATAGGAAGGTGCGTGTATACTCGCTTCTTGTAGACAGTAATGCCGATACACCGAAATATTATATCTCATTTACGTGATATGTTGGTTTTTTTTTCTCTCCGAATTTCGACGTTGGCGATATTATTTTTCTCGCGTATCACATACGCACCATTTATATGTATATATATAAAAAATGGAATGTATTTTCGAATCGATATAGCTTTGCGCAAACGCAGATTTTTCTCTTCTGCCCCCCCTTCCCCTTCGCATCGATCGATCACTGTCTACAGAAACACGCGAAAATATTTAAGTACAGGGATTTAATATGTGCTTCCGCGCGACTTTCATACATATAACTCGTTATGTATAAGGATATGGCAGGGATATGACTCACGGGTAAGATATAGATAATTACAGATGTGACCAGTTTCTGTTTGCGCGATCCGGCGCGACGAAAAATTTCCTCATCGTATCGTACTTGTCTATCTCAGATTCAATTCATTATGCTCGATATATTTTGCTTCTCGTTTATAATATATAGGTTCAATATCAAAGATATTTTAAGGAAATTTCTCCCGCGACGATTATCACAGATACAAACTGTGATTCGCAAAGTGTAGTTAACTTCTCTAACAAATACTCCGTCGTGAAGATCTCCCTCTCTGTCTCTCTTTCGAAGCTATTCTACAAACTATATAAAAATATAAAATACGTACATCATTAGGGAGACTTTCGTCCGATCGCGACTTCGCCATTCGATTGGCCGCACACTTTTAAGAAATGCAGGAAATCGTCGAAAGCAGAAGACTTGGAGAAATAATGACGATTAGTTCACACAGATGAGGGACTCTCGCGTCCTCGCATCCGCGGATATTTATAGTAAGTAGCTGCTTTCAACGTTACACGTGGTACGTTATGCGCATTCGATATATCTTAATAAAAGCTAAATAGTACCGAATAATTCGCTCCTACCGGCTTCGCGAAATCAATGCAATTTGTGGTATATTGTCGAGAATTTGTTTATCGGCTAGGTATATATAGGTATATCGCATACCGTATATCGTCGCTCTAATTGCGTAAGTTCCACGATAGAGACATATGTATACAATATACAATAACCAATGTACACAATATATATGCGCATCTTATATGAAACATATGTAGATATATCTACAAATCGATATATTGTCGTGGGTAAGTCATTGGCGCCTGTGCTACGCAACGAGACGCCTCGATTATTCTGAGTTTAGCAAAACCGTGCGTTTTGCTCTTACGTCCGTTAAAAAGTATATACTCTAAATACTACAATATTGTCGCATCCTTCTTAATAACCTCGAATGCCCCACTGTGCCAGCGCACTAGCTAGTAAAAACGTCGTTTTTAGCGTTGGTAATTTTCGCTTCCACCTTTTCTCCCGAGGCTCGTTCGCGCGATTGTTCCTCGAAAGAAATGGTGCTCGAATCACCATTGACGGCTGAAAATATATAGGTAGCGGAAATTATTGCAAACTCATTGCGTATATTGACTACTTTACGGAAAGACTAGCTTGGCAGTCTACGAGCAGTCTATGTCGAGCCTATTCTAAGGACTCCCTTAATATCGTTTTACTCGTGGTGTACATACGTATACACATTCTTTATTCACGTAAGATATTGTCGCGTTTTCTTTACTTGGAAAGTATACGCTATACGAGAGCGTTTGCCTCTTGCCGCGCGAATGAGCTTTGAATATTTATCAAATACTTATTAGGAAAGAATATCATTTGATCTGAATGGAGAAAGTAATTTCCGTATCTCCGGAAATTAATATAAAGCAGCTAATACGACAAGCGTAAAGTAGTTTACATGTCGTTGTGCAGATTTTATGTTAATCTATAATCTGACGCTAGGTATTATTTGGTATCGTTTTTGATCATTTTTTTTTTTACAATTATTATTTGCATTTTTTTTTTAGTCTCTCAAAGAGATACTAAGTAATTAGATAGCGCGGAATGAGCATAACAATCTTTGTCGTATACTAAGTCAAAAATTAATCTATAGCTCTGTAAGTTGATCTCTCAAAGGAAAAAAGGGATATCACGCTTTTTTTTTTAGAGAAGTTACGTGAGAGCAACTATTTTAACGCTCGATGATATAACTTCATTATCAGTCGAGAAACGATTTAATTATTAAAGCCAGACGTGAA